CCCGCTATTAAACTAGATTCCATGTTAACAGACATTGTCTGTAATTTTTAAAAATCAATAAAATGAGTTTTAAAGAGAAAAAAAAATCACCTAATGTGTGACACTGAACACATCAAAGTGATACAACCAGGAGACTCAAAGACCCTATAGGGAAATGAGGTCTCCGGGAGGATGAAAAGCTCTTTGAATCTGGAATCTGTTTGTCCACCCCCCACCCCCGCCCCGCCCGAAGAAGGATGTGGCCTTCCAGACACAGAGTTTGATCCAAAAATGAAAGGACACCAACGTTTATAAATAGTTCTGAAACTAAGGCTCACGGAATGTGTAGGTCACACTGTCTAGTGGCAAAAATATGTGATGGACCACAGATGAACAAGAATAAATTTGTGGTGGCCCACAGACTATGGTATTAGAAGAATTCTCAGACATCCTTTCTTCTGGGGTCAGCACCTCTAGTAAGAGACCCCCTAACTAAGGGGAACAAGGCAAGCATGCTGAACCTGTTCCTGCTTCCTGTGGCCACCATGATGCTAATAAGGTTCTGTATTCCCAGCTAATAAATGAGGAACAAAATCTAAATGCACAGTGGATGGGCCCCCGGCGGGGGGGCTCAGTTGGTTAAGCAGGCAACTTCGGCTCAGGTCATGATCTCGAAGTTCACGAATTCAAGCCCTGCGTCAGGCTCTCTGCTGACAGCTGGGGGCCTAGAACCTGCTTCAGATTCTTATCTCCCTCTCTCTGCCCCTCCCTCGCTCACTCGCTCTCTGTCTTTCTCTAAAAATAAACATTAAAAAGATAAAGAAAAAAATAAGACGTCTTAAATGCATAGCAGAGTGTGGAAATAGTCCCTTCTGCTGATCTATAACCCACCGGCCCACAGAACTCCACACACCCTTTCTCATGTTTCTGTATTCAAACCTTAAGAAGCAACACCTTGAAAACTCTACACCAGGTAGTTTTCAAAAGTTATGGACAAAGGCCAGCAATTCAGTCATCTACCCTTTCCCTCACTAGTGAAATCTCAGGGAATACTGGGTGTAGAGATAGGTGACAAGGAAGCGGGACTTCCATCCTGACCTGCTAGAGTATCTAAATGGGGTACCACATTATTATACAACCCAATAAATGCCAAAGTAAATTCAGTTTGCCACGTAGCAGGCTCCAGCAAAATGTTTGTGCATTTCATGAACACAAGTGCCATTTCAAATTTTGTAGCAATCTGCCCAACTTCTTAGATTATCTGAGATCAGAAAAAGGAAAAAATAAAAATGTATAGTCTTGCAAACTACTTAATATATCCCAAAATTACAAAAAGACATTGTTTCTCTTTTAAATTCATACAGCCTTTCTCCCAAGTAGAACAGAACATTTCAATGTACCATCCAGTCCAGACAGAACACTTAACTATTAAATTGTTAAATTCCAAGGTGAAAGAAAGGAAGGGATGGAGGAAGGAAGGGAAAGAGCTGGCAATTCTCTACAAAATTCTGAACAGAGAAATGTCCTCAAACTACAAACATGTTTTCAAGCTATGAGCTGTCAGAGCCCATGCTATGGAAGGGAACGAAGGAAGAAATTCTGATGAACTTGCCAGTCTAAGATCAGAGCAACCAGTCACTCCTATAATCAGTCAGCATTATGATTACACTTGCCTGGTAAATGTGCAGAAGGTAACACACTACTTGGTGTTGCGATGTTTCTTCAGCTATGAGACCTGAAATGTGTCCACAGGGTCTATCCCTGGTTCCTCTGCTTTTGTTTGAAAGAAGCTAGATCAAACGGCAAACCTAAGGTTTGCATGACCTCCCAAGTCTACAAGACCCACCTGTAGAAGAAATGCTTCCATTAACGGTTCTTAGCGACTTTTTTCTTAATTCATAATTTGAAATATGAGATGTGTTCAGTACTATAAATAAAGCATTACATACTCGAAGTAGGGGTTAACTTACGACAAAGAGGCATCCCTAAATTGCCAATGAGTTAGGTTGTTCTTAAGAAATCCAGATGATACATCTAATACTTTAATATAAAGCCATAAGACTAATCAGTCCATATCACCCAACACGAAAATCAATAAGAAGAATAAAGCCATGAAGTAATGAAATAAAGAAACCAGAAGCTAATCCTGCAAAACTTTGTGGATTTACGGACTGAATGGTGAAAATGTGAGGAATAAGTCGTAATGCAAACTTCCAACCTCTAATCCGGATTCCAAAGACTGGACCTAAGTTTACAGGAAGCTGTCAACAATTTTTAAACATGCTTTATAAAAGCTCCATTCTCTAAGCCTAACTCTGCCAAACAAAGGAATTAACCTGAAAACACGAAGTTAGCTTTTGAAAAGCATTCAACCCACTGATAGTAAAATGTCGGTAACGAGTTTGCATGTGTGATCTTCTATCAAGTTCTTGAAAACCAGTGGGAGATGAGGAAATTTAACCAGCATTCTCTAGCACATGCTAGTACCTCTGACTGTACACATCTACCTAAATGAGAGGTAGGTATGTTCTGCTTTAGCAATTTAAATCTTTAAAAATTAAATGAAGAAGTGACTCAGGCTACTGTATGAAAAAATATTTGTTCGACATCATCTGTATCATAATGCACTCAATTACTATACTAGTACTCATTCCTTGAAAATGTATATTCATAGAAAAATGATCCAAGATTAAGCAAATTAAGTTTTTACTAGTGACCATTTAAATTTACCAAATTATGCTTCCGATTTAAAAACCGTACAAGGGAAAAGAAAAAAAGATCACAGTCTCTCGCTTACCTTTCTATAGTAAATACTTCATAACAGTATTCTCATACATAAAAGTTCTGAAAATCTGTAAACTCTTTTTAAGGACCAAGTTCTTAAAGATCTTAAGCCATCCCTTACATGCTACTCTCCTCCAAAATATTATTTTAATTTCTCAGGATGTCATTTTATAGGAAATTACGTGTTTTTATTTGGTGTTTTATCGAAGGGTACTACCATTTGTCTAAATAGCTATCAAACCAGTCTGCGTTGCTATGCCAACTATACTTTTTTTTTATTTACATGACACACTTCGCTACTGTATATACTGACGAAATCAAGAGTAAACTATGTTCAGCATGAAAGATAAATTTACCAAGTGCTCCTTTGTAGATTAGTACTCCCGGTTCTAATAACGTCTGTGTGCTTTACTTTTGGACATTTTTCTGTAATAAGTAAATTGAAGGTTGTAGCTCAACTCACTGTTATCAGGACACAGCAACGTGTGAGGAAAAATGGGCATATTATTCAAACCATTCAGTCCAGATTTTCATGTTAAGCAATTCCAAAATAGCATTTTAAGGAATACAAACATTTAGGAATGATGTCCATTTTTAAGATGATGTGGAAATGGTATTTTAATGCATCTGCATGTGGGTGATTTCCACACCATCACATATAACTGCCTTAATAGAAGTAGTGATTGCAATTCATACACTTTAATACAATATGAAACATTACCTTTGAATTGGACATAAATCACCTACTAGCACAAATCCACGTCACCTCTTCTAAAATTTATCCTTCAGATTGAAAAGTAGACTATTACAGTGAATAAAATAGACATATTTCTCCACATTTTATTATCACTTAATTCACAGAACTTTAAAAGGCACAGACAAAACAAATGTGATTCCTGTGAACACCAGACAACGTAGATCTTAAATTTATAAAAACTTAGCGATTACCAATTTTCACCCAAGCGGAACAGAGAGATGTAATATATAATCTATTTCTAAAAGAAAACCTGCCTTTATCGGGAGGTGGGGAGGATACAAAATATCCATTATTTGTGGCAATATCCAGAACTTCAATCACATCCGAGTAATGGTTTATGCTAAACTGTTTGGATCTCTTTTGCCCTCGCAAAATTCCTGTTTTTTCATGAAAGAGCTTCATTATCTCATCGCTACGTTTTAAAGGGGTCTTTGCAAATAAAAAACAATGACTTTCAATTTGTTTTTAAAGAATCTTTTCGTACTTCCTGGTGAGAATCATATACTGCTTCCAGTTATAACACATCATCTCTCTATTTACTCTAATTGTAAACTTTAAATAGCGGGAGATGTTTTTCTCCTGAGCACATGAATGAATGCAAAGACCAACAATGAATCACCAGTGTGTAAAGTTCACTGCTTAATGAACAGTAACACTTGGGATTCTTTACAATGAATCAATTAGGTGAATGGGTTAAAAAAATTTTTCTTTTAAGTGAGGAAGTTCCCTCACTTTGCTTTTAGCTTTCCCTGCATCAGTCATATTTAAGAGGTGGAATGCTCATCTTTCAACAGGGAGGATGTCCCAGTGTGATGTGAAGGAACACATGTGTGAGATGGAATTCTATTCTCAGACTTGTTACAGTTTTCCCCAGTAATTAGGAAGCTATATGTCCCTGATAGAATGATGCTAACAAGCTCCTGCAGGTTCTACTCTAGCAAGAAATCAAAGGGGCCCCAAACAGACCACTTCAGTTAAAGGATTATGCATTTTGGTTATTAAAGTGAAGAAAGCTCTCCTACAGGTTTATCTCAGAAGGGACTTTCCCAAACGGTCAGATTCTATAGCCAGGATTACTTACTAAATAAAGAAGAAAATTAAAGAATGGCCGTGGAATGTTTGGAGGGAGGAAAAAAAAAAAAATACGTAAGTTATTAGCAGAGATCCATTTCTGAAACTTTCCTAAAGAAAAATGGAAAGATAGCGTTGCAACAGGCACCTGTCCCCACTGGCTGTTTCTCATAGAACATCAACACTCTTCCCCCACATAGTGAGGGCTACTACCTAAATCCCCGGTTACTTTCCGTCCTTCCTTTAAAATGCAAAGCCAGGTAGCATGAGTAGAGTTGGCCTTGACAGACAGCATGCAGAGGGGTCAAGAGGACCAAAAACACAGTCAGAGAAAGAAAACACCTAGGAAATGGAAAATGCTGCTCTCGAAGAGGGCTTGGCCCAACCAACAAGAGCGACACTCACGTACCTTGAGGACTTCCATCGGCACCTGGGTGGCAGAGGGAAGGGTGGTGGTGGGCACGCTGACGTTTATGGCCGGGGTCTGACTCACTGGCACTCTCTGTTGCATGAACTGGGCCGCCTGCAGCTTCTGCTGCTGCTCCCTGCGCTCCTGCTCCTGCATTTGCTCACGCATGAGTTGCTGGCGTAGCAAGATGCGTGATGTCATACTGGAGGAGCTTATCGGAGGCTTGGAGGCCCCAGGATGCTCCTCGGAACTGCTGTGGGAGAACCAAAAAGGGAAAAAAAAA